GCTTTCCTTCTCTTCACAGCTATTTGTAATGCCTCCTCAGACAACCATTTTGCTTTTTTCCATTTCTTTTTCTTGGGGATCGTCTTGATTCCTGTCTCCTGTACAATGTCACGAACCTCCATCCATAGTTCATCAGACACTCTGTCTATCAGATCTAGTCCCTTAAATCTATTTCTCACTTCCACTGTAGAGTCATAAGGGATTTGATTTAGGTCATACCTAAATGGCCTAGTGGTTTTCTCCACTTTCTTCAACTTCAGTCTGTATTTGGCAATAAGGAGTTCATGATCTGAGCCACAGTCAGCTCCTGGTCTTGTTTTTGCTGACCGTATAGAGCTTCTCTATGTTTGGCTACAAAGAACATAATCAATCTGATTTCAGTGTTGACCATCTGGTGATGTCCATGTGTAGAGTCTTCTCTTGTGTTGTTGGAAGAGGGTGTTTGCTATGACCAATGCATTCTCTTGGCAGAACAATATTAGCCTTTGCCCTGCTTTATTCTGTATTCCAAGGCCAAATTGCCTGTTACTCCAGGTGTTTCTTGACTTCCTACTTTTGCATTCCAGTCCCCTATAATGAACAGTACATCTTTTTTGGGTGTTAGTTCTAGAAGGTCTTGTAGTTCTTCAGAGAAATGTTCAAGTTCAGCTTCTTCAGCAATTACTGGTCGGGGCATAGACTTGGATTACCATAATATTGAATGGTTTGCCTTGGAAACGAACTGAGATCATTTTGTTGTTTTTGAGATTGTATCCAAGTACTGCATTTCATACTCTTTCGTTAACTATGATGGCTACTCCATTTCTTCTAAGGGATTCCTGTCCCCAGTAGTACATCATGCAAAATGCCAAGCTGGATGAAGCACAAGCTGGAATCAAGATTGCTGGGAGAAATATCAATAATCTCAAATACACAGATGACACCACCCTTATGATAGAAAGCAAAGAAGAACGAAAGAGCCTCTTGATGAAAGTGAAAGAGGAGAATGAAAAAGCTGGCTTAAAACTCAACATTCAGAAAACTAAGATCATGGCACTGGTCCCATCACTTCATGGCAGATAGATGGGGAAGCAATGGGAACAGTGACAGACTTTATATTTTGGGTTCCAAAATCACTGCAGATGGTGACTGCAGCCATGAAATTAAAAGACGTTTGCTCCTTGGAAGAAAAGCTATGACCAACCTAGACAGCATTTTAAAAAGCAGAGATATTGCCAAGAAAGATTCATCTAGTCAAAGCTATGCTTTTTCCAGTAGTCATGTATGGTTGTGAGAGTTGGACTATAAAGAAAGCTGTCCATGGCTAATTCATTTCAATGTATGACAAAAACTACTGTAATGATGTAAAGTAATTAGCCTCCAACTAATAAAAATAAATGGAAAAAAAATAATANGAGACTTGGCTGTTTATATCTAATCTTTTTCTTTTCTTTTCAAATATACCTAAATCTCCTACTAAGCAATTTCGTGCTGGGGAAATGGGGAAGGCAGATTGCATAAGCTAATGCCTGATTTATATCAGATACTAATATTTCCATTTCCTGAGACAGAATAGCCAGGTTATACCTGTGAGGCAAACAGACAGAAACAGAAAATGAATGACAGCCTGGGTGTTCCTTTTTTTTCCCCAAATTTTTATCCTCCAGCAAGAATTTCTTTTGTTTCTTGATGCATCTTTTTGAAATGATGATATTCACAAGATAAAATAAATGCTTTTTTCTAGTTAAAAATTTAAATTACTGATGCTAGTTAAATATCAGTGAAAATTGTCCTTATTTTACCCAGTGGATAAAGCTATAAGTTTATGAGGTGAGAAAAATTTCTCCTCCATTTAATGCTGTGAAATATATTTTTAAAAGTGTCAGAGCAGAAGGAAGTTAGATTTCAGACTTACACATCAGATTCCATATTTCTAATGTGGCAAATCAAGTCATTTTTGAGCAAGATGGCTGTTATTGGCAAAGTGTTCTGAGGGTACCTCACTAATTCAGTTAAAAACTAGGTCATATTCCACTACAGCAAATATCACTCCATAGAAAAACTGTGCAACAACAGGTTTCTAAGGTCCAGGCACTAATCATTTTATGTCACAAAATATAAGAATTTGGCAAAATCTCAATAAAGAGAATTGAGACTCTTTCAGAATACCTTAAAATGGACTCACCTCCTTCATTTAGCTATTATGGCAAACTAAACTAATAGCAGAGCTTGAGAGTTTGAGATGTTCTGTAACAGCAGATACAATGTAGATTCAAGTTAACTAGAGTTGGCTTCAGAATTGTTACGGGAGAGAGCCTAGAGGAAGTTTGGGGTGCGACCAGGGAATCTGTGCTTTCACCAGGACTCCAGGTGGTTCTGTTGCAAGTCTTGGGAAAAGCCTCAGAGAATAACTCTCAATAATGCTCAAATAGAAATCTGCTTTTAGTTAAGAAGGACACAAAACAAGTCAAGATAGCACCAGAGATTTCATCAGTTTGGAGTGGTTGTCAAAATGTAATAGGTTTTTTGGGGGCAATATTTACTTAATCAACTGGAATTAAACCTAGTTGTGAACCTGGCTTTTAAATTTAGTCCACTAAATAGTCTTGGGAATATTTATTACCTATGAATTATTTTTTTGGTTTTAAAAAAAATCTGTTCTCACAAATTATTTGGAAGCTTTCCCTCTGTTTCAAGTCTTTACATCCTTAGTGATTTGTGTTGCGGAGTTGATTTCCCTTGTTAAAAAATGAGTCCCTCAATCTAGCAGCTTATATAGGTATTCTCAAGCATGGCTGGATACAAATCACTGGTGGAACTTTTTAAACCTATTGTTGCCCAGGCTCCACTCCTCACTCCAATCAGAATCTCTAGGCACAGGATCCCCTCCGCCCCGTAAATCTATTTCCTTAAAAGCACTACTGTCTTTTCATTTTGTTTTTCGCTTTCTTTGCTGTGCAAAAACTTTTAAGTTTAATTAGGTCCCATTTGTTTATTTTTGTTTTTATTTCCATTTTGACAGATGAATGGATGAAGAAGTAGTAGAGGTATGTACAATGGAATATTATTTAGCTGTAAAAAGGAATTAATTTGAGTCAGCTCTAGTGAGATGGATGAACTTAGAGTCTGTTACATGGAGTGAAATAAGTCAGAAAGAGAAAAACAAATATCATATATTAATGCATATAGATGGAATCTAGAAAAATAGTACTGAGGAACCTATTTGCAGGGCAGGGACAAAGGGGCAGACATAGAGAACAAACTTGTGGCCACAGCAGGGGAAGGAGAAGGTGGGATGAACTGAGAGAGTAGGACTGAAACATTTACATTACCATTTATAAAACAGATAGCTAGTGGGAAGTTGCTATATAACACACGGAGCTCAACTCAGTGCTCTGGGATGACCTAGAGCAGTGGGAGGGATATTCAAGAGGGAGGGGACATATGGATACTTAACGACTGATTGACATTGTTGTATGGCAGAAACTAACAAAACATTGTAAAGCAATTATCCTCTAATTAAAAAAAAAAAAGTGTTACTGTATATCCAAGCTTGAGAACCACTGGTTTAAAGATAGCAAAATAAACTTTCTCTGAGATTTTCAAACATATTCTTCTTGGCTAGACAGTTCTTTATTCTTGCTGCAGCCAGAGCCATTGCTGTGCTAGATTCAATGCATTCTTGTAACTCTGAGTTTTGTGCTATGCTATCTCTGATAGAGTCACTGGTGAACAATAGCTGAGATTATTAAGCAGGCATCACTTCTGGGGCTGATAAGCCAGAGGCCCAAGATATACTGACAAGGATAGAAGTTTTCTCTAAGTGACATTTTGATCACCTTGAGGAGTAGTGAGAGAAAACTGCTGAAGCAGGGTCACACCACCTGGCATGAAGTAGGAAGAAGGTTTTGGAGACTGTAGCACTTAGACCTTTGAATCACACTGGTACACTATTGGGGAATAGGACTATGCTGAACAACAAATAGTCTAGCCAATCTGAAAATACTTAGATTTAGGTCAAGTTTGAGAGATGACAGAGGCACTGGGCTTCCTGATACCCAGAATCTGGGATTACTGGCAGAAGTCTATCTGGGCAATTTCAAAGATTCCTAAGATAGGATATTACAAACTCTCTGGCTTATATTGTATAGTTCTGACCTGAATTTTCCAAGGAGCTGCAGCAATTAGCTCCCTGGATTTTATTCCTATAATGCTTCTTCCCGAGTTTGCCTGTGTAGTTCTGTTACTGACTGCAAATTTCCAAAAAGCAGGAACCATTTATGCTGCTTCTCTGGCCAAGAATACAGTACAGTGACACACACGTCCAATACTTCAGGATGACTTAATGTTCTCAATGAGGAGCGTCCACCAAATTAGTTACTGCCCCATGGAACAAAGATGGGTGATGTTCAAATCAAACATGCCTTCCCTCAGCCTGTGCCCAAACTACAAGCGTCACCAGAACACCCCTTGTTCAGTCAGTCACTGGAATGCTTTATCAGTTGAGGAAGGAAAAGGTTTTGAAAACTTCTAGATAACATGGAGCAGGGGGTTATAACCATCATTTTTAGACAAGTGCCTTTAAAATCTGGCTACCCAAAGCGTGGTCCTCAGACCAGGAGCATCATCACTGTCTAGAGATTGTTAGGCAGAATTTCAAGTCCCCGTCTCAGGCTTACAGGATCAGAATTCGCTTTTTAATAAGATGCCCAGGTCATTCTTGTTCATATTTAGAATTTGAGATATCAATAGATCTAGTAATTGATCAATCTAGCACCAATCAGCGCCCAAAACAGAGATTCAGCCCTTTGTACCCGCCTCTCACCCGATCCACTCTGTAGCAACCGAATCCCCGGAGACATCGGAACGGGTGCTGCCGAGGGCAGCTTGGTGATTGGCTAGTCAGACCACGTGACCTGCGCTGGCCCTCCCGTGCTAGTGGATTGGCTCTCGCGGACGCTGACGGACAGGGCCGGGGCGGGCCAAAGCCAGGTCGAAGGGGCGCGCGCGGTGGCGCGGAGGGGCGAGAACGCGAATGCGCGTGCGCGAGCGGCGGGGCTCTTTCCCCGAGCCGTCGGAAGGAGCGGGAGCGCTTCTCCCGAGGTAAGAGCTGCTGCGGGGCGGGCTCCCTGCCCCTCCGCGGCCGATTGCGGGTGAGCGGGGTTGGGGGAAGTCTGAGGTCCGCCTGCCCGGGGAGCCTCACTTGGGAGAGGATGCAGACCCAGGCTCAGTCGTCTCCTTCGGTGCCTCGGTTTCCCTTTTCTGCCCGCTAATGCATCTCCCCATCCTCCTCACCGCGGTCCCGTGTCCACCCGAGGGGAGTTGCCACCTGGTAGTCTCGCCTTCGCCTTTGTTTCTCTCCCGGAGGGATGCTGGTACCGTCCCCCTCCCCAGGTAAAGGATGAAGGGTGGTGGGGCGGGGACGTCTCCGGCGCAAGACCTGGCCTAGAGCCGGGGAGAAGATGGCTTTAATGCAGTGGGACCTGTCACATGTGAGAATGAAGAAAAAAAATGTAGTGTCACTTTGGCCAAGCCACGGGACTCGAACTAATCCGGCGGCGGCGACCAAAGCCGTATTCCTGGCGCAGCCGTGCGAGCAGGGGTGGGGGCAGGACCCGCGGGCCAGCCCAGGTGCGCCGGTGGAAGGCTTCTCCCGACCTGCCTGGAGCTCTCACCCCAGAGTTGTACCGAATCGCTTTCAGCCTGCAGAAGGGNTTTTCCACTAGTTAATTTACTAGATATACCTGTTAGTTTGCTTGGTACGGAATGGTTTAAACTATCATTAGGACGATTTTACTGTATTTTGGAATTCCACTATAATTCATTTACAACTTATTCTGGTAGGAAATGGACAAGAATCTGTCTACCTGATTCCTCAAAGACATCCTGACAGGGGTTCCAAGGCTTTTTATTACTCTTACCTTCCCCATACAAAGTTTTGTTTCTTTAGGAAACGATATGATTTTTTTTCAAACACCTCAGACACACTGCATGCCTGTGAAATGCCCAAACGTGTTAGGAAATCAATTTACTTGGCAAGTTCAAACTAACTAAAGAAGGAACACTTAAATTTGTTAGGGGGAATCAGAATTAACATCAACTGTAGCAGATCAACTTTTGGTGGTTTTCTGGGGTGAGCAAAAGTAAAAGAAAAGGTATTGCAAAGCTTGTTGGGAATGTAACAAATGACCTCATAAAGTAAAATATAGATTGTCACCTGACAGATTGGTACATAAAGCAAATTAGAGTAATTTTAGAACTTGTCAGTGATTTGTTTCTAACTGGTATCAGTGGGGAGAGGAAGGAATTCTGAGGCTGGGGTGGGGAATACAGTTTGAAAAGATATGTGCTTTTGTGTTTAGAGAGAAAATGTCGCTTTTGTTATATAAACTACACAAAGGACATGCAGTGTTTATGTTTAGTCTGTGAATGGGAGGCAAGGGTTTTGGAAAGGTTGAAAAACACTTATTAGGTTAAACAAGGGAAAGCAGAAAGATTGGCAGGCTTAGTTCATCTTAAGCGAAGCAGTGACCTACAGGACAAGGTTTATTCTCTGATTCAGTAAAAGCCCACTAATGTTGCTTCCAGAGCAACAACAAAATCATTTCCTTTCTGTCGTTTCTGTCCCCTGGGTCAGGGAGGGAAGAGTGAATGAGAGATTAGACTCTGACCTGCATGCCTAAGCAGTATTGTCCTTTGAGCAGGATCTGTGTCACACTGTGTAAATCTAAGAGCCGTCAGGTTGATAGAGGTCTGAGCACCTCCCCTGGACTCCTGCTGTAAGGTAGAGTGGGATAACGTTGCCACAGGTGGCAGCGAGGTGAGATCATCTGATACGGAAGCCCTAGGGTGAGGAGAGCCAGGGTGTTTAATTCAGTGACCCTCTGCCTTTGGAGCTTTGAGAAGGCAGAGCTGCCTCTCTACTGGCTTGACTGGCTGGGTTTTATATGGCTTCCCAAGGACCTGCCCTTCACGATGGGAGCTCCTGTGGATTTCTGTGTCTCGGTTGTAAGCATCAGTTATGCTTGTAATGTGCTCTAGAAAAGGAAGGCTCACAGAAACACAAATCTAGGCTGCCGTTCTTTCAGGGATGTCAAACGCAGGCTTCCAGAAAACAAGTTATGCCCTCCCTACCAGTAGATGGCACTGCTGTCTCTGGGAATTCCTGGAGGAGATGAAACAGGAGCTGGCAAACCAGTGATGTGTAACCTCTGGTCTAGAAGATTTTGGAAGGCTGTGTCAGTTCCCAAAGAAAATCCTTAAAAAAAAGGAAAAAAAAAAAGTTATGAAAGCCGGAAATATTGATACAAAGTAGGAATGATGGTTGCGGGGGTTAAGAATGGATGTCATTACTTTGCTGGCTGTGTGTGGGAAATGCAGAGGGTAAGCTGACAAGCATTGGAGTACAGGTTTTGAAAGCCCTTGCATACATATTGTTGGCTAATTGAAAATGAGGTTGAATTCATGATTCAATCAAATTACCCAACAACTTCCTAGTGTCTACCTCTTTGCTTATAAAACTCGTCTGTACACGTGGACGGGACTATGGAAATACACATGTAACTTTTAAACCTAATCAATATCCAATAATTATGTATCTGAAGATAGTGGTGAGAGTATTAGTAAAAATAATGCTCATGCTTACTTTAGGGCTGTCCACAATAGTAGGTCAAAGTTATTCTGAATCAGTTTCTTCTAAAACTTAAAAATTCCTAACAAGTATTCTACCATTTTAAGATTTTATTAGTGATTCACATCCTGAACTTTGGTTTTATTGACCTTATTAGCCAGGGTTTGTTCATTTATTCCCCTCTTTTGAACTACCTTTTCTTTCATTTTTAAAAAAATAATTGACTGTTTTTGATATGAGTTTTGTAGCCATATATTTGAAGGAGGTGATACTGTTGCTAGTGAGGTTACTGTGCGTATGAGCTCTGACCCTTCTGGAGGCATAGCACTCTGTTCCTGGGAGTCATCACCCGAATCACCTGCTTCCTCATGCTGTCCTTACGCTATGGCTCAGCTTTCTGGAGTTTATTTCCACCTCTCTTCAAGTGAACTCATGAGCTGATTTTTATTACCAATGCCAAATCCTAAAATCTTGCTGACGCTGGACAGCAGTAGTCTCAACAGTTTGCTAGCATTACCTCATTATGTGACCTCAAATACATTTCTTTGCCTTTCTGAACCTCAGTTTTCTCACCTGGGTCACTGGAATTGGGTGAGATGTGATGCATGTCTCTTGAAAAAAATCCTTTCTAAGTCAAAATTCTATGGCCAGCTGATTCTCATAAAGTGTCAATATTTCTGAATCCCCTGAAAAATTCTTATCTAAAAGGTATTTTCTTGCTGTAACCTAGGGCAAAAAGAAATCTCACTAATACTTCTTCTCAGAGAATCCTAATAATTCAGAGTTGTGAGAAACCTTAGGGATGGTTTAGCTTGACCTTCTCATTTTATAGACAAAGAGTTCCACCTCAAAGCTGAGTGATTTGCCCAGGCTAACAGAACTAGAGAATGGTAGAAAACTGGGACCCAACCTCATGTCAGTCCTGCCTTTTCCAGTGCTGAATTTCTTCACCTGCCATCAGTACGCAGAAGATGCTGTGTCTACAGGGCTGGAGCCAAGAAAATTCTGAGTAATTCCTTAAAGCACGGTTTTTAAACCACAGCATGAATAGTATTGTGTTGGGCAGAAATTCAAGGTCTGACTTCTTTTTTGCACCTTATTCTTTTCTTCACTGACTGTTCTTGAGTAGTATTCTTTACTATACATCCTTGTGTTTTTTTAAACTTTCCTGCAGAAGAAAAAAAAACTTTCTTCACCTTAGAAGAGTCATTCCCCAATCAGATGTTTTTAAATTGGGTCCATGGCAAAAACAAGAATTTTTATTTTCCATACATACACACTGAGTCATTGCTTGAAAAACTTGGTCTGCCCTGTGACCCGCTTCTCTTTGGACATGTGAGATATAAGTTTGGTGGTGATCACTGTTTTGAAGAACATTTGCTTGAAAAACTTGGTCTGCCCTGTGACCCACTTCCCTTATATTCAGTATGATGGTGGTCCATGCTGTTGAATGCTTCCTTCTGGTACCTTTTTAGATTTGGACCAGAGCAGCCATTTACTCTCACTTTAGCAGAAGAATAAGCATTACCTTTTCTTCTTCAGCAGCTTATCAATTGAATTTTTGTAATAACAGATGAAAAAGTCCAATTTCTGTACTCTGATTCCAGCACACTGAGTTAGTATGAGATTTGAGGGACATTGTTGACTTCTGAGTTTGTTTCCTTGTCTGGAAAATAAGAGGGGAAAGCAGTGACCACTGAAATTCTTTCTAGTTCTGAAATCTTGTGACTCTTTGAAATTTTACCTGGTATCCTGAAAATGGAGATTTTATGTATAATCAAAGTTGGTGCCAGTTCTTTGTATCTGCAGATCACTTTGTGGTATACAAAAATATTCTCTAATTTTTAAAATCTCTTTTGTACTTCAAGTGTGGTCAAAGAACAAAATCTGGGAGTTTGCAACTCAGCATTTTGTCAAGATACCCAGGAGCTATGCTTGCTGTTTTGTCTCATTTTTGAGTTTCACATTGACACATAGGTCAATGAGGGAAGCAGAGTATTTCACAGATGAGGAAACCAGATCTCAGAGTCATTAAGAAACTAAGTCAGATTTACTGTTAGTGTCTCACCCAGAACTCCATACTCTAAACCTAATATCTTCTTTGTTAGGCTGGAGTCAGGCTTGTGTGATACTGATTATTAGCTACCCAGCAACCCATGGATTTAGGTGTGGCTGTGTAACTAAGTGGAAATGGAAAAGTATTGTGGTCCATTTCTAGGGAAAAAAGAAACAAAAAGAGAGCACCCATGCAAGTTCCTCCCTGCTATTTTATACTCCTTGTAGGCTGGAATGGAGAGGGTCACTATGAGATCTTGGGATGCAGGACTTTTGTCAGCCTGGTTGCCTGGATTGCTGTTAAGGGAGACTGTTCAATTGTCCAGTATGTATATAGGAACAAGAAATAAGCTTTTATTGAGCTTAAACCATTATATATGTTTGGGTTTATGTGTTAAGTACTGATAGTTAGCCTATGCTAGCAAATTCATTTGAGGAACAGTGGCTTGGAACTTGAAGTTATGGATCTTCTGGCCTAATGTATTCATTCATTCATTTTTCATCTTTGGTAGTTGGTGATCGATTGGTTGTGATCCACCATGCAGAAGTGAGTGATGAAAGGCAACAGAGCTGATGGGTCATGAGGATGTAAGTGCATTTGAAGGCTCTCACACCCTCTACTCCAGGGTAAGTCAAAAGCATTCTTTGCCATTGTTGTTCTGGTTTTATTCTTGTCTTAACTGAGAAAGATAAGATCCCCTCTTGGCATCAGTGCAGTGGGGTGCCCTGTCTGTGAAAGTTTCCCAAAGCCTTTAGTGATTCAGGTCATAAATACTATTAAGATCAGCACTTACAAAGCTAAAACCATGGTCAAGGTGATGGGATATAATCTGCATGGGAATGTCTCAACATAAGAATTTTTTAATGAGTTTGTATGGGGCTTGATTTACATAGGGGGTGAGGGTGTTGCTGGGCCTTCCTGAGAAGGGAACTAGGCCTGAGTGCTATTTTCCTGTAGCTATATCATATTGTTATCTCTGCTGACACAAATTACCCTCTCTCAGCACCCTACTCTTCTATGGATCACTTTGCTTAACTTTTCCTGCATTAATCACTTCTCTTTTTTTGGGAGATGGGAAACTGCTCACCAGAGAGTTGATGATTTCCAATTTGGTAGATAATAGTGGTAGCAAAGCACATGGTTCTGCCCATGCCATTTTATTTTATCCAGTGTCACTGGAAGTCACATGCCCATTCCCTCCTCATCTGTTTGCAGTCCTCAGTGCAATGGATGTAGGCACCGGGAGCCTTATAACTAAAGCTGCTTTGGATTTTCATCTGTCGTGAAGATTTTGAGACCAAAAGGAGATTTGGTGTGCCCTTCTCAGAGGCAGTGGAGGGCTGAGAGGAAGGAGTGAAAAGGACATCCCATTCTTTCTGAGGTCTCTGGCTTTTAGAGCTTAAACTAAAACCAGACTCACTAAAGAGAAAATAATAATTAATACAAATCTAAGCAGAGCTAAGAATGGTTAGGAAAAGGGGGGACAGGAGGTTATATTTAGAAAAAAAAGTACTCAGCTGAGAAACTGGATGGAGGATTGTTTTTAAGCGTCTTAGTTCAATACTGTGGAGTCCTTGCTGATAATGCCCCATTACCCACGCTCAGACAGAGGGCACCCAGTAAGGCTAATGTCCTTCTGTGCCTCACGTGGCTCAGTAATGAGTACAATTTACTGAACAAAATAGACAATTAGGAGCTGTAGATCTCTGGAGATTCCCAGAAGCATGCATCATTACAGCTGTGGGGTGATGCATGTGCTTAGAGATAAGCAAAGCAAAGGACAGGGAGCTATAGGGCACATCAATGACTGAAGAATCTAGGTGAGCATCCAGACACAGACCCCAGCTCAGCTCCTGGGGGTCACTAAGGAAAGGGCCTGGTCTCTGCTAAGCTTTGTCATTAGAGGAAAGGAGCCAGACTTTGCCCCCTTTCCTCATTTTCCTCTGTGGCGCCAAAAAGCTTAGCATGACAGAAATAGCACTCAACTGGTATGTTTCCATGTAAATGCTGTATGAGGATCAGATTACAGAGGGAGCCATTCTTTATTGATTAGGAGACAAAGAAACTAGTGCTGGAGATGCCAGAGGATCAGGGGTTCTCATCCTCAGCACCACTGGCATGCTGAGCCTGGTGAATCTTTGTTGTGGGCTATCCTGTGCATTGAGGCATGTTCAGCAACATCCTTGGCCTCTACCCTCTGGATGCCTGTAGTTCCCCCGGCCCCCACCACAATCATTACAATCAAAAGTGTCTCCAGACATTGCCAAATGTGCCCTGGGGAAAAAACTGCCCCTGGTTGAGAGCCACTGCTGGAGGTGATTTAATTTTGTTCTTGAGTTTCTCTGGGACGGCATTTCAGTAACTTAGCCTCATTCTTCTAGTTTCCCTACCTGTAAAATAGACACAGCATTTGTAAGTCAGTAGCCTAAAGAAGGGATGTATGAAGCACTGTGTGATTACTTGAGAGCTCTATGAATGCTAATAAGTACCTGTCTCCTCAAATATCCAGGACCCAGGGATCACTCTTAATCCTTACGAAGGCAGTAGCTGAGGAGGAGGGGAGTTTGAAGGGTCAGTGGTGTGGGAAATGATGCATGGTGCCAGACTCTCATTTCACTTGAAGCTTTCATATTTAGTTCATTTCAACAATATACTCTTGATAAAGGCTTTTTTTTTTTTTTTTTAAGGGAAAAATGGGAGAGTGGAGGAGAGAGAAATAAGCTTTTAGAAGAGCAGTCCAGGAAATTGCTTCTAACTAGGGACGGGAGATTGAGGTAATCTCTTAAAGTGACTCGTATAATTAGTGCTAAATTGCTTCAGTCATGTCTGATTCTTTCCGACCCTATGCACTGTAGCCCACCAAGCTCCTCTATCCATGGGGATTGTCAGGCAAGAATGTTGGAGTGGGTTGCCATGCCCTCCTTCAGGGGATTTTCCTGACTCAGGGATTGAACTTGAGTCTCTTAAGTCTTCTGCATTGGCAGGTGAGGTCTTTGTCATTAGCGCCACCTAGTGAGGGGAAGTCACTAGGACATAAAGTCACCAAAGGACATAAAGAAGTAACCCTCCCAAAGAAAAGTATCCTCCCAAATTACTACGGATCCTAGAGCAGATTTTGTGAGTAATACAACAAATACCAGAGAGTTTTTGGGGAAATCTGTTTTTATTCTATAGCTTTTCCATCTATTTCTTCTCTCCTTTGAAAGTATAGAAAAGGGGTTGTCTTCAACCCATGCCCTTTGAATGATACATAAAATGTTTTGGGATCACGGTTGTTCTGCTCATCTTCTAGAACTGTGCTGGAATGGTGGAAAGGGCTATCACCCTGGCTTGGGCCTGAAGTAGTCATGTTATTTTACTAGAAAATCTCAGTTTAGGAAGAGCAAGTGCAGGGATTAGATGTAAACTGTCCTGGCAGGTTTGAGTTCAGTCTTGCTGAGGTGTTGGTCTCTGTACTTACTAGATACACTCAGCAAACTTACACCAAGACCATATTGACATAGGCACGGTGTGGACAGAGCGTGGCTATCATCAGGGAGTTCTGTTGGACAGCACTGCTTTAGACTATAAAGACTCTATTTATCAGAAATCCATACTTGTAGTGACAGTGTGCGTACTTGTTATAACAAGACCTCACCTCATTTAAAACAGAATTGTGTTTTGGACTTCTCCATCCTGGGTCACTTTTCAGTCTGTGAGAGGATCTTGCTGAACTTTTTGGCTTGCTGTAGCACCTGTCACAGAAAGTGCCATGAGCCTGTCTCTCTGACATAACTGAGTGCACTGCCTCAAAAATATTTGTGCTTTAATCCCAGGCTGCTGAGCTGTCTCTTTCCATTTGGTGTCTCCACACCCTGACCCTCGGTGGTGAAGCTTGTTTGTGCAGGATGTCTCTTTTGATACTGCCTAGAGCTTCACACAGGGTCTGGGACAGGTGGTGAGAGAGTTTTCACCTTCCTTCCTTCCAAGCCCCAGCATGGCTCAGAAAAGTGTTTCATAAGAAGGTATTAGTTCACAAGCTTAAGCTCTGAGGCGTTATCCCCTAAAGAATTAGTTTGTAAAGTAGTATAGGACATATTTAGTAGTTAAGCCCTTTAGCAACATGGAAGAATTTTCAGGTGATATTATCTCTCACTAGTACCAATATTAGTGGCTCTGAAACTATCATAATTAGAACAAATGAAAAGATGTAGAAATAAAGACATATTTTAAAAGATGTAATTTAAATCTAACTGAGCCCAAGAGTGTTTTGCATGGTAGAAGGAATGAGAGCAGAGGGTTTGCGTGCTGTGAGTAGTGTTGCAGGAGACAAGGCATGAAGATGGCTGAGCTGAGATGACTCTTGGATGGCCTTCACTGACCGCGTCTCTCCTGACTGTGTGGTGCTGATCCTCGTATTGCCCTCCTCTCTTCACTTTGTGTTTCTGTTCTGCTTTGGTCTGCTTGGGGTGTTGGAGGGGTCTTAGTGTTTCTCACAGGAGGTGCTCTTAGCATTTTGATAGAATGACTCATCATTGTGTGAAACTTTGCTGTCCATTATAAGACATAGAGCATCCCTAGTCATTGAATGCTTGTATTACTCTAACCAAGTCATCAAGTCAACCAACAAAGCCCCCTGTATTTCTAAATATGGCCTCTGATTGAGAATCACTGGCTGCTAGAGCGCTGGGGGGTTTTAGAAAGGGGGAGTAATTAGAGTTGCAGAAGGCGCAGGTGCTAGGAGGGGCTGGCTCATTAATTTCTGATATGACCTGACCTATTCCCAGTGCTGGAACTGCTTTGGGAGCCAATATTATTCTATAGAGACCAGAAGAATCAGGTTTTGCCAGTGGAAAACTTGGTCCCTAAACCTCAAAATCAACCCAGAAGTCACAGGGGGGACGTCTGTCAGTGCCACAGAGGGTGGAGAGAAAACTGAGTCTCCCAGAGCATGCTGGTTTTTATTCTTTACTGGGAGAAGAAATGCAGCAATGGAGATTTAAAGACAATCCAAGAGAAAGGGGTTTTACCAGCCATTTATTTTCTTTCTCTGTGATTACAAAAACTGGCAAAGTAACCCTAAATTTGTGAGGTTATGTGTAGACTCTCAGATGGGAAATCTGAGGTGGTTTTATAGTTAGTAAAGAAAAAAAAAAACAAAAAACACTTTCAGACGTCTTGCTGTGGGGCATCTATAAATGTCTCTGATTACAAGAACAGAAGCTCATTGAAGTTACCTTAAGAAATGGAAGGCTTAAGTAAGGATACATGGGAAAATAAAACAAATGTCAGACGTGTGGCAAGTTGTGGGTAATCCCGAAGGTCTTTCAGGATGAGAAAGAGCCGTCATGTGGCCAGACCTCACGGTGACAGGACCTAACTCAGGACCAGGAAGATTATTGCCTGATTTGTTGCAACTCCAGGATGTGTCTGCACCAACAGTGCTTGATCAGTCTGCATTCTACTTCTCCACCATTTACATGGCTCAGGATTCCTGTTTTGGCTTCTCTACTCATGTCTTCCTGTCCCCACAACCTAACTGATGGTCTGTGTATGGACCAAGAAGGAAAAGAATATGATAATTCTGTAGTAACTATCAGCCCTCTGGTTATAGAGTTCCTTCTCCCAGGCAGTCTTAGAGGTACTG